AAGAGGGGCTGGCTGTTCTGGCTGGCAGCAGAAGAGGGGGCCAGCTGCTCTGGTGGTGGAGAGGCAAGGGGGCCATCTGTTCCAGTGAGAGGGAGAAGAGAGTCTTGCTGCTCTGACAAGGGGAAGAAGGCTCAGCCACTTTAGTGGCAGGGAAGGAGCTCACCATTCTGTCGGAGGCGCCTGGCCACTGTGGCAAGGGGGAGTGGCTGACCGCATAAGGGGGAGTGACTGGTTATGTTGTTCTGCACTTGCCTTTTGCAACAGGAGTGTGTGCTGGTGACTCTACCCCTGAAGTTGCCTCTATGGATCCTGCTGCTGTCTCACCCAGCATGAGCTGCTGCTGTGCCTGGCTTCTTGTGCTGCTGGGGACGACTCTGCTTGGGGCAGCTCACAGACTGGGGCTGATCTACCAGCTCTGGCATAAGGTAAAACTGAGACAGTGCCTGCCTCCTTTTACATAGATGCCTGCCATGGGAGGGGATGTGGGTGCATGAGGAGAGTTTGGGTAACATCTGCACTGAGATCCCAGGACTGACTCACTGCACTGGTGGCTGCTCGCTTATGTGCAGATGAGGCTGCTGAGGACAGTGCACGTGGTAAGGCTGTTCCCCAAGCATAAGCTCTCACATATGCCCAGGTGGTGGCAATTCCTATATCAAATCTGTGGGTTTGGTGGAAAGGTCTCCCTAACCTGTGGCGTTCGTGCTCAGATATCCCATATTCCCAGGCCTGTTCTCACACTAGCTCTCACCCAGGGTAGCAGGATATCAAAGGATCTCTCTGTGTTTGAGTCCCATGAGTAGGGGCCCTAACAAATTCTCGCTCCATTTTTGGTCAGTTTCACAGATGGAGGGTTTTAAAATTAGTTTAATATGTTCTGATGTTTACATCTGTCATTTCAGGGTGTTGTAACCAGCAGGATCCTGACCCAATAGGCAGGTCACTAAAGCTATTGTAGGGTGGTTGTGGGATTGTACCCTTACTTCTACCCTGCTGCTGGCAGAGGTTCTCTCTTCAGAGCTGGGCAGTCAAAGTGGAACAGTGCTGGCTGGGTGCCCAGCTCTGAAGTTGGTGCTGTTGCCAGCATCAGCACGGGTAGGAGGGTGGATTCCCATAGGTTTGGTTTTTCATCAGTGTCCTGTTGCAGCACAGGGAAGTGACAGTGGGAGCCAGGAAGCTTCTTTCATCCAGGGGAAGATTCCGTAGGTAGCCACCCCAGTCCTCCTCATCGGAGGCTCGTGCCCCATTCCTCCCTCACCTCCTTCCACTTACTCCTCCCTAGCCCCCCTTCCTGATGTACAAAATAAAGGACACTTGTGGTCAAAAATAGAAACTCTCTTTATTTAACAAAACTGGGAGGGGGGATTAACCTCTGGGGAGACTGGGAAAAGGAGGTGGGAGAGGGGAAGAGAGAGGGTGGGAGAGGGGAGGGGGAAACCTGGGAGGAGGGAGCTGGAAGGAGGAAGCCAGGGGAACAAGGAGGAGGGGAAGTATCAAACTATGGTACGCCATATCTTCAGTACTGTGTACAGATGTGATTTCCTCACCCCAGAAAAGATATTTTGGCCTTGGAAAGGGTTCAGAAAAGGGCAACTAAAATGATCAGGGGTTTGGAACAGGTCCCATATGAAGAGAGGCTAAAGAGACTGGGACTTTTCAGCTTAGAAAAGAGGAGACTGAGGGGGGATATGATAGAGGTCTATAAAAGCATGAGTGGTGTGGAGAGGGTACATAAAGAAACGTTCTTCATTAGTTCCTATAACAGAAGGACTAGAGGACACCAAATGAAATGAATGGGTAGCAGGCTTCAAACTAATAACAGACAGTTCTTCTTCACAAAGCAAATAGTCAACCTGTGGAACTCCTTGCTGCAGGAGGCTGTGAAGGCTACAACTAGAACAGAGTTTAAAGAGAAGTTAGATAAAGTCATGGAGATTAGGTCCATGGAGTGGTATTAGCCAGGGGGTAGAAATGGTGTCCCTGGCCTCTGTTTGTGGAAGGCTGGAGATGGATGGCACGAGACAAATGGCTTGGTCATTGTCTTCGGTCCATCCTGTCCAGGGTACCTAGTGTTGGCCGCTGTCGGCAGACAGGCTACTGGGCTAGATGGACCTTTGGTCTGACCCAGTACGG